TGGTTTCAATTATTGTAAAAGTTATAGCTATCAGGGATATAACTATACTAAAAGTTTATAGATGTTGTGTCCATTCCATGGACATATAAAAACTGAACGAATATATAGGAAAAAATTAAAATTTGAAGGGAAAGTAGGGATCGATGCTGCAATAAAAGTAAACAAACAAGTAAAGTGATACTAGTTCGATAGATTTTAAAACTATTTTCAATCCCTACTTTGGTTAGCATTGTGATCCGTTTAGCTAAATGAAGGAGTCTAAATTTTTAAAATCTATCCAACTAGTATCACTCTAATTGTTTGTTTACTTTTTATTGCAGCAACTATCCCTACTTCCGTTAAAATTTGCTTCCTATTTATGTATATATATATATCTTATAGGTAGATAAAAATAATTATCAAAATTGATATAACAGATGCACATATGATTTTTATGCAAGAGAACTTTGTAAAAAAAAAAGAAATACAAAAAATAACGCGTGTTTATTTTTAACCGCGATTTAAGGGCTCATGGAATGGCACTGAGTTTGTTGGTTTTTCAAGTACAAACATTTAGCTCATAACTTAGCTCCGTCATCTCTTCACCGATTTGAGATCTAATTAAAGTTTTGGACTCAGGAAGTCAAACCCTTTTGATTGAAATTTGACCACGCCAAGGTCTCATAGATTAATTTACTGGAATCCTGCCTAAAAGAATTTCAATTTGAGGGTAGGCTGGTAAAGATCCTGATGAGTAATGAAATCGAATCAGGTATAAGCGCGCCACATGCTTGGTATTGCTGGCGCACAAAAATATAGCTAATAAGAAGGGGGAAAAAAGTCTCATTGATTAAGTTACTCTAATCCTGCCTAAAAGAATTTCAAGTGCCGCGGCTATTGAGGATTCCCTCTTGTTTTATGATGAACTTTAATGTGGTAGAGCGTTGCACATTTTGTTTCCTGTAGAATTGCACCAGTGAATATTTCATTTTAAGGTCTGTAAAAATAGGTCACATTGCCTGAAGGGTAAATCATTACGGCTTAGAGACAAGAGTTCCTGATCATATGTTTAAACGTTGTTCAAGACCTGGAAGGCGTCATAGAAATTAAGGTCACGCAACTGTATTGAACGCTTCTCGAGTTCGTACGAAAGAATTCTAGTATACGCATTATGACAACACAGAACTTGGAAGGTGTCTCCATCTGTTGACTACACAGTGTGTTATAATTATGACTGGTATTTTGCCTCCAAGACACGCCAATATCCTAGATGTAACAACTCGCGTGGCCCCTGATGTATTTATACGTCTTCAAACATGTGAATCTATGAATTTCTTGGTAATAAAAGCAATAACACAATTTTTCACGCTTAATGTTTGAGATAAAAATGTACGAATTAATGTCTGAAGATAAAGAGGTAAGAATTATTTACTGAATCGCAAATGCGAACCTTTCAGAACAATAAAAATTGTTAGGAATTTTGGTTGTAAAATTAGACATAAATTATTATCCTTATTCACATTTAGTTACCCTCTAGTTTTACTAAAATTCTGGTAAGCATGGTGAGGTTGGAGTTCTTTGTTGACGGCTTCTGTCTTGGCTGGTTTTTGATGTTGACATCATTTCAGCTTCGGCGCGTAAGTGTTTATCATAAAACTCGTAACACAATCTATCCACTAACCCCCCCCCCCAACTTTCTGGTCTGTGCAGTGCAACTATTTGTTTGTTTGTTTTTTTAATTAAGCACAAAGCTACACAATGGGCTATATGTGCTCTGCCCATCACAGGTATCGAAACCCGGTTTCTAGTGTTGTAAGTCTGCAGACATACCGCTGTGCAACTAGTGAGTCAGGTTTATGAAAATACAGGATGTACTAACATTTTTCGTTCGCAAGTAAAACGGTGACAGATATTTGGAACTGTCGTATCAGGCGGCTGGTCAGGGGAAAGCAAAGTGTTTGATCATTTACGCCAAATTTGAAAGTATGGTGCGTGTTCTATCGCTACGACTTCTGCTGCACTAGCAACGGTAGGTGTGGAGATATAACTGTATGCAAGGTAATTTGACGCCATTGGATACAACTATGCGATTTTCGGCGCTATTACATTAATCCTTTCTGCTTTATGACGTTTTATTTTCGATGAACAGTTTCGATAAAACCCGTGTATTTGAAGAGAAGTATTTGATGGTTTCATATTTTACCACATTTTAAATTTTATTTTTTTGAATTATTCAATATTATTCAATCTAAAGACTTTCTTTTTTTTTCAGACATTCAGAAGACTCTACGACAACGTCAGTATCAATCGAGAAGAAAAGAAGACGAAGACAATGCGTTTCGGAGTCTTTTTCGATAATATTTTTTGCGGGCTTCATCATTTTATCTTCATTGGCACCCTGGCTTTCAATTCCTTCCTATGTTGTGTCGAATCCTGATCAAGATATGTTTAAACTCATTATGTTCCTCTGTGCGCTCATCTCTTTTATGTTTCTCTTTATCGGCTGCATAATAGGTAACTTTTACTGGTATTTCGATGGGCAAACCGGCAGATGGCGGGTCATGTTACACTGTGGAAAAGGTCCGAAACCGTATTACTGGGGTTGGAATTTCTCTTCTGAACGAAATAAGTCTCAGAAGAATCAGTCTGAGCATATAGAAACTGTATAATTCATTACCGAGCGCTATAAGCTCTGCCTCACCCCCCATCCCCCAGTGGCTCAGCAGAAAGATTGAGAGCTCATTACGCTACGTTTCAGGACTCGATCCCCACTGTAGGCATAGCACAGATAAGATGTTTAACAAAAACAAAAAACGACGCTATAAGTTCTAACTTCAATTTTTTTTTCACATTGAAACCACTAGAAAGGAATTTTGTTCCTATTTTTTTTTCTTTTTTATTGTTCAGTGTAGTTTAATAGTTTGTTCGTTTGTTTTAATCCTATACTGTGTAATTATGCGTATAATTTTGATTGTGTTCGTTTTGGTTGTGTTAGTAAAGGTAAAAGATCTACGGGTCCAGGAAAGCCAATAATGGTAAAAGTACAACTTTTAAAAACGTGTTTTTCTGACCAGAGTTGATTTTGAAACGAAATTTTTTAACACAACCAGACTTATAATGAAGAATAATCAGCGAAATATTTATGACGTATTAGGCATTTGATATACAGAGCATAACTGAAACGACATACCACAGGCTCCATTCACACCAAGCATGAACATAACAACAAGTATTAGAACCGTTAAACGAACTTCAGGATAAGGCACTATGTCACTCAGTCAGAATATAGAATCAGGATGTTATTAACTCTGTTCATCTCTCAGAGCTCATTATTTCATCTTAACTCACGAAATGTTTCCTGTTTTTCACACCTTGTCTTCTTTCTGACAGTTTCTACAATGGCTTTATTGTATGCTGTGCGATACTCTGTGGTGCCATAATAATTTTTTTTTGGGGGGGGGGACAAAACAGAATATCTTATACTCATGTATAATTTTAAAGGGACTCGTTATTCCCCCACCCCCAAATTTTAGCGTGCTAAATTACATTAAGCCAACGTTGGGTTTCAAAAATTACTTTGTATTGAGTTTTGAAGCCCCAAAAGTATTCACAGATCTTGCAGAAGATTTTCGACCATTCTAGAATATCTAGCAATTTTTCTTTGGGGGGGGGGGAGGATAACAAGTCCCTTTAAAAGTGGATTGATGAATAATGTTCTTTCGAGCATTATTTAATTAAAAAAATAATTATTTATTGCAGTAGTACCATTAGTATAAAAAGTAAGGTTAAAAGGAATACCTATTATTGTAGGATATATCTGGTTGACTTCTAGCATCCAAGAAAAGAAACACATCTCGTAAAATGGTGGTGTGCGTGTTTTTTTTTTTTGTTTGTTTTTTTTGTTATACACATTACATTTGCTCTGTGTATGTAGGATTAAATTTGGGGTGGGGGCAAGAAAAATTTAGGGGGACGAAATGTTCCCTTTACCCCCTGTAGCGCTGCCATTGCCTGGTAATAATCATGTGTTATAATAATAATTGCTTTTCTGTTAATCGAAATTTTTATACATAAAATTCCGTTTGCAGTTACTTATTGCACTCTAGAACTCGTGCATGAAATTAAAAAGAACTCTTAGAATGCGGGCCACTTTTTGTGAAGTATCATGTCACATTAAAACGAGCACGTTTTTTATTCATTCTCAAATAAATAGGTGAGTATAAAAGTTAAGTAGGCCGGGACTGGCTCACTAGTTAGTTTGTCCGGACTGTGGATCCACTTTAGGTTCGTGAATGCACCATGAAAGCGACGGTCAAATCCCACTATTCAATTAAACAAAATTAGTCCAACAGTTGGCGATTGGTGCTATTTACTTACGGTCTTCCCTCTAGTCCATCAGTTCAAAATTAGGAAAAGCTATATGCAGATAGGCCTTGTGTAGCTTCGCGCGAAAATACTAAAACAAAAACAAACAAATAAAACTTTACATTTTGATATACTCTAAATATCTGATGTGTAGTCGTGTGTGATTTTATTTAAATGTTTCGTTTTTGCATACACCAACTCAGTAAGAAACGGATAAATTCTCCATGACCTTTGGTATTTGTATTTTCATTTAAAATAACGTTTTTATTAAAAACCTGAACCTGGTCTTGTGGTGAAAAACTCTTAGTTAGATTGGCAAACAAACCAAATCTTATAGGTTTGAAACACTTGTGGCAAATAAACGAAATCTTACAGGCCTTAAACACTTGTGGTAAACAAATCAAATTTAATAGGCCTTAAAGACTTGTAGCAAACAAACCAAATCTTATAGGCCTTAAACACCTGTGGCAAACAAATCAAATCTTATTGGCCTTAAGCACCTGTGGCAAACAAATCAAATCTTATAGGTCTTAAAGACTTGTGGCAAACAAACCAAATCTTACAGACCTTAAACACCTGTGGCAAATAAATCAAATCTTATAGGCCTTAAACACTTGTGGCAAACAAATCAATTCTTACAGGCCTAAAACACTTGTGGCAAACAAACCAAATCTTACAAGCCTTAAACACTTGTGGCAAACAAATCAAATCTTATAGGCCTTAAACACTTGTGGCAAACAAATCAATTCTTACAGGCCTAAAACACTTGTGGCAAACAATTCAAATCTTATAGGCCTTAAACACTTGTGGCAAACAAATCAAATCTTATAGGCCTTACACACTTGCGGCAAATAAATCCAATCTTATAGGCCTTAAACACGGCAAACAAACACAATATTGTAGGCCTTAAACACTTGTTATGTTATTTCACCACTGAGTGCCAAAATATACGCTCCGCAAGATGAAAATTAATTCCACGCTCATATAATTGAAAAACAACATCATCCAGTGACTTATAATTGCTTACTCTTGTTTGTATAAGGTGCTGGGTCTTGTATTTCATTGAAAATAAAAATTGATGAAGAAACAAAAACTTAAGTCAAGTCGACGAATACTTAGTTTTACATGTATAAGTTTGTTTATAACGTTTCACTGGCGTTATGATATAAGAACGTCTGATGTAGATACTTAATCTGTTTTGTGCGAAAACGTTAATAAACTGATGTATGTAGATACACTGACTGTTTAATGTTTGTCTGCGTAATCGTGATGTATAGGTAAGTGTAGATGACGTAAAACTATAGAATTCATTTTTACGTTAACTGTTGGGAATGTTTTTTTTTTTTGTTTCGAAAGTAACAATCCAAATATCTGAGTAAAACCAATTACCAACCGGCACATCCTTTTATTGCTGCGAATACGTAAATATTGTAATCAATATATTTATATTTTGAGCTAAGGGATTGCGCTTTTTTTTAAATAAAAGTATGCAATGGCAAGATCTTGGAATCACATTTCTGTTACTAAACATCAAAATGTTCGCTTGTTGGTCAATGTATCAGTATTTAAACTAATATCTCAATAAAACTGATTAATAACAACATTTGACCCATAGCCAATTAAACTAGCATTATGAAAATTTATTATTGGCATCCACTTAAACGTATATGCATGCACTGATATCAGAAAAAATATCGTCTTCAATCTAGGTAAAGTTGGCGGTAATAGAATATGTCTCCTGATAGGCCATTCTACAAGTTTCCAAAGATTCTCGATTATGTTAAAATCAATGCACTGCAAGGTGGAGTTGATAATGCAAGTCTGTATTAAGCTCAGTGTACCAATCATGCACAATTCTAACTGTATGGCTGATAGTGTTATTGTCCTGAAACAATTGTGAATGATTTTAACTATGTGGCTGATAGTATTATTGTCCTGAACCAATCGTGAATGATTTCAACTGTATGGTTGATAGTGTGATTGTCCTGAAACAATTGTGAATGATTTTAACTATATGGCTGATAGTATTATTGTCCTGAACCAATCGTGAATGATTTTAATTGTATGGCTGATAATATTATTGTCCTGAACCAATCAATGATGATTTTAACTGTGTGACTGATGATATTATTGTCCGGAAGCAATCATTGATGATATTAACTGTGTGACTGATAGTATTATTGTCCTGGAAACCACCATCTTTGTTTGGGTAGAAGTAGAGCACGTGGTCAGCTAGGGTGGCAAATATTCATGAGCAGAAATGTGATACTTGAGAAGAACCAGTGTGCCTAGTCCATGCCAAATAAATGAGCCCCACGACACCACACCACTTCCAAAACATTGTACAATGGAGACTATACGGGATGAGTCCATGACTTCATTCAGTTGCTGCCACTCTCTAGCCCTACCATCACTGCAGAACAGTGCATAACAATGTAAAGTGTGATTCAAATAACCACATCAACACGCCCATCGGGTAATGGTTTAATCCTGATGATCTAAGCACCACTGTATAGGTTTATTTTTATTATTAACAGAGATAAGGGGGCACGACTATCAAGAAGCTCCCTACACATTGTTCTTGTGGAAATGAATGTTCCTTGACCATAATTATCTATCAGTTCACACACATTTGAACGTCTGTTAATGTGAACACTTCCTGACATTTTCCTCCTATCCCTGTTTGAAAACTTTCTCATATACAATTCTCGGGATACAATGGCCTTTGATTAGCCAATGAAGTCGACCATTCTTCCTCATACAAGTTACCGTCTGTATTTATATAACCCCTGGTGGTTTTATTGCTCTCTGAGATTTGGTCGAAAAGTCCTCTCATCAAGGCAGTCACTTACAGCTTATAAACAACTAATTATCAGTGACTAAACTGAAATTTTGAAAGAGGTGTAGCTCCCGTTTATGATCCACCTTGACATTCCAATCAGAAGACCAGGATTGGTTCGTTACGGACCGTTCCGCCTCAGTTTAACTCTTGCTGACTATCAACCGTTTGAGTTCTGATAAGAGTAAAAATTTGCTGATCTTGCCTTATCTAGGTAGCTGTCTTCACACGATACGAAACGAGTTCAATGTTAAAGACTAGACTATATATTTCAAAGTATTTATGAAAAATTACAGTGTCCTCATTGACCTTCCCGAAGCTCTTTTCTCACTTCCGGTTCTGAACTTGTTACATTAGTTCTTAGAATAATTACACAAAATCAATAATATTGTTCCAAGAAACTGGCACTCGATTGTTTTGTTGATTTAATCGCATTGTTTTAGAGACAATCATAAAAGTTTCGTTCATTATTGCTCATAAAAAGAGCCGATAAATCTTAATTAAACCTTTTCAAGAATGACTAAAAGAAACTGGAAATGTCAAAAAACGTTATTTGATTATTGGATGATTATAAACTACATTCATAATCCAAATA